TTGTTAGGAAAATATATTTTATATGCGTAAATTTGACTTTGGTGTGGCAAAATTATTTGATTTATATATTGTGTTTTTCACAGGCCCCTTATTCATTTCACTTCTTGTGTGTGTTGTGTCTGAGCTGCTCAATGTGCATGAGCAAAAAATGGCTGTGTCACATTGCAATTAGTTTTCATTTCACATGACTTTTCAGGGCTCAAAATAATGTTTTTAACCAAATTTATCTCTGATTTGGCCACACCAAAAATAAATAAGTTATTATTTCTTAGCCACAAATTTTAAATGTCAAAACGAGCAAAATATAACTGCATACATGATTTTTTTTTATTTAACAACTGATCTTTAAAACAAAATGTACATTTAGAAAATAACGATTGTCTATTATTGTCTTATTGTCATAACTATTATAGTTGCAGGGTCGGCTCTTTTGGAACAAATCCTCCATTTAAACTTGTCCATATGATAACAACTTTTTTTTACACATTCCGGCCGATCATAGTATGTTTAAAAGACATTTCAAGCATGTATCAGAAAACTGCTAACTTATTTTAGCGTGTTGCTAGTAAGTGCTCAACATACTTTAACACTGCTAACATGTTATCATTAAATTGCAAACATGTTTTACCCTGCTACTAGCATGTTTTTAGAACACTGATAACATGTTTTATTATGTTTTAACACATTTCTAGTTTGTTTTAGTATCCTATTTTAGCACATTGTAAAATTGACAAAATGTTTTTTAGTATTTGTAACACTGGCAGCATGTTTGCTAGCACGTTTTAGTAGGCTTTAACAGATTTCTAGCAAGTTTCAGAACATGCTAGAACATATCATATCATGCTGCGATCAAGTTCTTAATATACTTTAATAATGCTAACATCTTAATAGGCTAACAAGTTGCAAACATGTTCTACATGTTTCTAGCACACTATAACATGTTTTAGCACACTAATTTCTGGCACACTAATAACATGTTTTAATATGTTTTAACACATTCCTCGCATATTTTATTACTCTATTTTGGCAAATTATAACATATTGCTAAAATGTTTTTAGCATTTGTAAGATTGACAGCATGTTTTAGAAAACAAATCAAATTTGGATTTTGCAGATGTTTTTACCACATTGAACATTGACTTAAACATGCTAATAGCATATTGTTAGAATGTTTAAGCAACATTTCCAACATTTTATAACACTGCTATTATATTTTAGCATATTACTAGTAGGTTCCAAACATACTTTAATACTGTTAATATGTCATTGGGTTTTACTAAGCTACAAACATGTTTTACCCTGTTGCTGGCATGTTTTAGCACACTGATAACATGTCTTAATATGTTTTAACAGATTTCTAACATGTTCTAGAACACTGCTATTATGCTTTAGCATGTTACTAATACGTTCTAAACATGTTTTATCATATTGCGAAAATGTCTTTAGAATTTAACATTGCTAACGTTTTACAAGACATTTGACATCACAATGCGCTTTAACGTGTTGGAATATTGTTAAGCATGTTTTAGTATGTTTTAACACATTGCTAGCATGTTACAGACCATTTATACTCAACAGGTTGCTCGAAGGTTTATAGCATTTTTTAACACTACGTTTTTAGTTTCTTAAAAGATTGCTATCATGTTTTAGAAAACATGTTTTAAAAATGTTAAAACGCTATGTTTTAACAATCTGCTAATGTCTTAAAATGGGCCTATTATGCTAACTTAAATTGTACATGGTGTGTGTAATACCTGTAAAACAATAGCTTATAAAAGGTTAAAAAGGTAACACTTTTTTCATAATTATAAAATAAAAAGCATATTCTTATTATGCTACTAATATAAGATTTAGTGCGAAGAATGTCTTCTTTAGTGTATTAAATACTGCAAGCTAGGCAACACTTTATAAAAAAATCATATAAACGCACAAAGAAGCAGCTTTTATGCCATTCTAAACACTGATCCAGAGTCAGTGAGTGTGGAGGGAGCAGCAGTGAATCGGGCTGTTGAAGCGGAGCCGCTCAGGTCATCTGGGGCAAACTCAAGCACACAGCCCGATGCACTTAGAAAAAAAAGCCTTGTATTCTGGGTAGCCTTGTTTAGTAATGCATGCCGATCCTCCATAGAGAGGCAAGAGTCACCCCTGCAGCATATACAGGGCATGCACAGAGTCTCTACTGTACAAGACTGTCAAAGCAGACAGGAAAGTAACAAAATACAAGAGGAAAACACTTGTGTAAGAGCTGAATGTGTCAATGGAGAAAACAAAACTTTGTGTGTATTGCATACAGTTAAAGTGAGAATTATTAGTCTCCCTAAATTATCAGCGCCCCTGATTATTTTCCCCAATTTTTCAACACATTTCTAAACAGAATAGTTTTAATAACTCATCTGTAATAACTAATTTTTTTTTTAATCTTTGACATGATGACAGTAAATAATATTTTACTAGATATTTTTCAAGACACTTCTATATAGTTTAAAGTGACATTTAAAGGCTTAATTAGGTTAACTAGGCAGGTTAGGTAATTAGGCAAGTTATCGTATAATGATGGTTTGTTCTGTAGACTATCGAGAAAAATATATAGTTAAAAGGGGCTAATAATTTTGACCTTAAAATGTTTTTTTTTTTTTTTTTTTAATGTCAATCTGCTTTTATTCTAGCCGAAATGAAACAAATAAGACTTTCTCAAGAAGAAAAAATATTATCAGACATACTGTGAAAATTTCCTTGCTCTGTTAAACATCATTCGGGAAATATTTAAAAAAAGAAAAAAAAATATCAAAAGGGGGTAATTAATCTGACTTCAACTGTATATCAGGCTTATTTCATTGTCTTTTCTGTACCTCTATGTGCTAGATTTAAGATTCATCAGTCACTGCAGGTAAATCAAATTGGAAGAATAACAAAATGTGGTGAAACATAAGCTTATTTCAGTACTAAAGCCCAGTGTTTATGCTTAAAACAAATTTAACTGAAACGGGTGGCACGGTGGCTCAGTGCTTAGCACTTGTCATCTCACAGCAAGAAGGTTACTGGTTTAAGTCCCGGCTGGGTGAGTTGGAATTTCTGTGTGGAGTTTGCATGTTCTTCCCGTGTTGGCGAGGGTTCCCTATATTGGTTAATTGAATAAACTAAATTGGCTGTTGTGTATAGGTGTTAATATGAGTGTGTATGGGTGTTTCTCAGTACTGGGTTGCAGCCGGTAGGGCATCCACTTTGTAAAACGTATGCTGGATAAGTTGGTGGTTAATTCCACTGTTGCTTCCCATAATGAATAAAGGGACTAGGCCAAAGAAAAATGAATAAATAAATGAATGAATGAATATTGTATGCAGAATCAAGCAGCATAAATATGAAAGAAACACATGAGATCAAAAGTCTTGAACGTTGAACGTACAAATGGCCCCAAATCACAAATAGTACAAAATCTTCAATAATTTCAATGAATTGATTTTTTTATTTTTTTTTGCTTAAGGTAAACTGTTATCTATAAATCAGTATAATCTTAAACAAACATAAATTAAAGAAAATAATAAAAAAATAAAAACGCTTAATAAATCTAAACATGCCATATATGCATCTTAAATCCTAAATGTAATCTCAGATCTGGTTAATGGAGATTAATAATTTGTGACAGAACTAGTTTTGACACTAGGGACTCTATTTTAACGATCTAGGTGCAAGGTCTAAAGCGCATGACGCAAAAGCTTTAAGGGCATGTTCAAATACACTTTTGCTATTTTAAGGACGAAAAAAAAAAAGGTCTTGCAGAGTTGTGCTTATTCTCTTAATGAGCTATGAGTGTGTTTTGAGCATAACGTGCGTTAAACCAACCAGAGTCTCATCTCCCATTCCTTTTAAGAGTCAGTTGTGCTGTGCCATGGCGCATTTGCTATTCACATGGTGGAATTTGTAAGTAGAAAAACTTTGAAATTTCAACCAGCCAAAGTGGCTTTTAGTGGTGTCTGTCTAACATGCCATAGCTAAAATCTACCCACATTTGGCGGTTGGCAGGTGTTAATGTAAAGCCCTGGATGTAAGCATGGTTAATGTCACATAGGAAGCAAAATCTGAAGATCTTGTTTTTCCATATGCTTGCAAAAAAAGGTTTTACAAATCAAAACTACTCGATTGTCCTTTTTTATGTTTTCTAGGCTGGCAGATACTCCGGGGACCCAATTATAGCACTTAAACACAGAAAACCACCAGAGGTTTCCAGAGTAAAAGGCAATAAAGTAGATTTCTTTCTGATTATTTTAGATATCACAGAATGATAAATTAATCGTGAAATACCATCAGGAAATCTCCCCCACTGAGGGGTCAAAGTGGCAAACTGATACAATAAACGGCTACAATAAACAATAGTTTTAAACAGCGTCTCTCTCTGATCCGATCAGTCTGATAAATGTGCTTCTGCCAAGAAAAGAAAAGAATCCCAAAATCTCCACGTATAAATATATATCCATAATGAGGAGACCTTCATTAATATGCATAACCACAGAAACAGCGCAGAACAAAGGAATGCTTTAGATCAACTCACAGAAGAAACCCTAATTAAGAAAAATGATTGAAGAATTGCCCATAATTATACTTTTAATTATGCACACTCACCAAAAAAATACAAGAAGAAAAGCGACCGAAACAATAGAACACATCCTAGTTTCCAGGAGCACGACATTATTAATATAAATCTGCCTAGAAAAACTGAAAATCGCCCTATTTATCTGATCCACCAGTTGCTAGTCAGCTTGTAGATACTGCATCTACATATCAAATTCCTTCTAAAAAACATATTAACACATTTTGCTTGGAAACGTGCACAATGAATGAGACACTTATATGTATGATAAGGCGAATTTGTTGAAAAGTGAGCAAAGACAAGTGAGTTGTCAGTTACACTTATTGAACAGTAGTTTGAGTGTAAGTGAGCTGACTGATCATTCTCTTTTATGCCATTTCTTACTTTATGTTACAGTGAATTTCTAGAGACTCACTTGAATCCATTTGTCTGGAATGGCCATGGCCAGGCGGTAGTCAAAACCCAGACCTCCTTGTTGGACTGGACAGCAAAGTGTAGGCATCCCGGACACATCCTTAAAAAAGAAAGAATATAATTATTTAAGGAAAGCTCCAATTATATAGGAAATACGCTCATTTTATAAGTCACCTAACAGTTAAACAGTTCAGTTCCACCATTTTGAAACCATTCAGCCAATCTCTGTGTTTGGCGGGAGCACTTTTAGCTTAGCTTAGCATAAGTCATTGAATCAGGTTAGACCATTAGCATCTCACTAAAATATTGGAAAGATTTAAAATAATTTTTCTGGTTAAAGCTTCAGTCTTCAGTTACATTCGGCACAAAAACTGAAAGAAAATTAAAAGTTGCTGTTTTTTAGGCTGATATGTATAGGAACTATACTCTCATTGCAGTAGAACAATCAAAAAAGTTTGCACACAAATACATAAGACGATTTATTGAAATGTTAAAAAAACAATGTTCCTCAAAGTAAGATAGGAAGACAAAGGGAAGAAGATATTTCACCTTCAACAGTGCATAACATAATTAAAAGATTCTGGAGGAATTTCAGTGCGCAAAGGACAAAGTTGCAAGCCTGAAGCCTACTTCACACTACAGGATTTTAAGTTTGATATGAAAGTTAACGAACATGGCTATGATGGGGGGAGGGGTGCTCTGAACAATGCATCAAAGAGGCTTGCTGAAACATCGCCGGACACCTCGCAGACAGAAATCCAATATCTAGCATGGTGAATATTCCCGAGCAGTCAGCCGACTCGGCCCCATGTGCAATCACATGTAGTGACGAGCTGCAGCCAATGAGAGAGCATATCAGAATGAGCTGAATGACCTTGTGTTCAGGAGCTCAACAGAAAGGTCTGTGATTGGCCAGAATGGACATCGATGCACTCGCTTCATTCTCCGTTAACACATACAGTAGACGAGAGGAGGCTATATTAACAGAGGAGCTCGAATTCTGTAACCATTAAAATTACTTTACTGGTCATTTTGACTGTTCTCATTTAAGATGTCATATTGTTACATCATATTTACCATTAAAACTTCTCCTGTGATGTTAAAATTATGCTTTGAATGACTGTCATCATATTTTAGGACACTATTAGCCTAAAAAATCTGATCTTTTTTTTGTAATACAGCCTATAAATATGTAGTTAAGATACTAGAACACGCAACGGTCTGGGCCTAGCTTTCATTTTCACTTTCAAACAGGAGCTATTTTGTGGCACAGAGTATGCTGTTTTGAAATATATCTCTGAAGTGAGTGTGCTTTTTGCTATCAGAAAGTTCTGTTTATGTTAGCAGGAAGTTGAGTCAAAACTGCATACATATTTAGTCAAAGCAAAACGTAGCAGACATGCATGAAGTCATTTTGACCAATATGGTAATTAAAGGTAGAAATGCTCCATTCTCTATCGTTTTGTAATTAAAAAAAAAAAAAAAAAAAAAAACAATGTTAGAAAGAAATACACAGATATGTAGAAAAGTCTGGGTATTATAGACATGTTAGTTTTATTTCAGATTTATGAAATTACAAAAACTAAAAACTCTGACTGCCTCTGTAGTTCTAGTGTTAAAGCCACATCCCTCGACTTGAACCTTACAGATGGACGATTGATCCAATGAAGCATCATCTTGCTGGCGATGTTTTTAAATGCTCCCTTGAATGCTCGAAATGCTGTCAGTGATGTAATCAGCACACAAGCAGCCAATAGTTCAGCTTTTTCTGACAACGATTCCCCCAAAATTTCATTGGCTGTGGTTTGGTAGCTTGACTGAGTTGTTGGTGAACTAGTTGTTGTCAGATAATGTAGCGTGTGACCCCCCTTTTGTGGATTATTACATAGTGTGAACACCACATTGATAAAAAGACACAAAATCAAGTCATGTACTGTGAACGCACAGCGATCTGCCAACGTTTTAAATCATGTAGTGTGAACTAGGTTTGAACAGAACAACTGTGATCTCAGATCCCTCATATGGCACTGCATCAAGAATCGCAATTCATATATAAGCGATATCACCACATGAGCTCAGGAATACTTTGGCAAACCTTTGTCAAGTACTACAATGCAGTTACATTTACAAATGCCAGTAAAAATTGTACTGAGCCAAAAAGAAGCCCTATGTTGACAGTGTCCAGAAGCACTGTCGACTTCTTTGGGCACAGAGGCAAGGCAGCTGGGATGGACCATCACACAATGGAAATGTGTACTGTGGTCAGACAAATCAGTATTTCAGGTTTTTTAATTTAGTTTTATCTATATTTTCTGTGAGAAATGCACGCCGTGTGCTCTGGACTAAAGAAGAAAAGGATAATCCACTGTTACCAGCAACAAGTCCAAAAGTCAGGGTCTGTCAAGCTATGGGGTTGTGTCAGTGCCCTTGGCAAAGGTAACTTGTACTTCAGTGATGGCACCATTAATGCAGAAACGTACATTTTTGGAGCACAATATGCCCCTTCTTTTTACCTTTACCATTCAACGTGCATATTTCAACAAGACAGGATACAGGTATTTCACAGGCCTGCCTGCAGTCCCAACCTGTCTCCAATAAAGAATGTGTGCCACAAAATGCGTCAACAAAACCCTGTACTGTTGCCCACTTTAAGACTTGTTTGCAGGAAGAATGGGTCAAAACTACCCCTGAAACACTTAATCACTTGGTGACTTCAGTCCCGAAACGTCTTTTAAGTATTTAAATGCTTTACTGTTTCAATGTTTTTGAAATGTGTACAAATACAAGTCAATGTAAATTTAGAAGCACTTCTATCTTTTTATTTGTGTTTTCCATACTGTCCCAACTTTTTCAGATTTAGGGTTGTATTTGAAAAACAAACAAACCAAAAATTATTTGCCCAAAACTTTATTTTGCCTAAATATAATCTTACCTTCAGTCACATATGGCCTAATAAAAGTTAATTTATTTTTATTCATGTAGTGGGCCGCCTCACGAGAATATCACAACCAGAAAAATGCATAATTGCTGACAAATACCTAAAAACTCATCAACTTTCGCCAGTAATTTGGTTAGCAGGAATCTCCAGCCATGCTAGGCTTTTCTTCAGGGTATCACACAATAATGCAGCCCCACGCACGCCACCGAATTAACCAAAGCTTTTTTGTTATATCTGTAGTGCTTTTTATGCTGTTTAATTGTTTCCTGCAATAAAAGCAAACTTTTAGCATTCAGAGTCCAGCTCTACCAATGGAGCTCATAAAAGAGAATTAGACGATATCTCCGGTGGGCTCTGTCCACTAATTACGAAAACACAGAAGTAAGTAAGTAAAAAGTAAGTGGTGTCATTAATCATGGCTTTAGACAGAGCCACTGAGTGCTAATTTAATGCGGCGCGTCTCGTTGACTCTGAAGGTTAATTCCGTCTTTGTGGAGTTTGGGTTACAGTAGCGCTTTTGACAGGATTAAGGTTATCAAGCCATGACTGAAGGCCTTGTGGTCAATTCGGATGATATCTCTGCATATTCTTACACCTACTTAAGACCAGACACTGCAGGTGAATTCTTGTTAAATTGTTCTTTGGAAAATTCCTAAAAACAGTTCATGCCAGATTTACAACATGATTTTAAGCAGCAGATTTTTTCACTCCTGCGTTCTTAAAGGGCATGACATTTTAGGGTCGTGTGAAAGAAAAGTTGAGAGGCTGAAAAGACACACAGACCATGTTTATGCTTACAAAAACATAAGCTCGGCATACACATGATTTCATATAGGCTTTGTGCTTCACTTGTGCCTTTGTAAATTAAAGAAACTCTAACTCCATTCACAGAGTTATCACAGGTTCATGATGTATTTCTGTTTTAATCTTTATAATTTTATAATTGTATAAAATAAAGTGAAACAAACATCCCAAGCATGTATGACCATGCTGATAACAAGCCAGATGCACAAAAACATGAGCCTTATATTAATTATTCATTATTTTCATATTATTAATATAATATGACCCTCGTATATATATATATATATATATATATATATATATATATATATATATATATATATATATATATATATATATATATATATATATATATATATATATACATACACACACACACACACACACACACACACACACACAATATTTAAATAAATCCGTGAACAATGCTGAGTTTTATTAACTGTGATTGCTGACTGAAGCACATTTTAAAACAAAACGCATCTTATTTTATTATTTATTTATTATTATGCATTTAATTTTGAGCTTGACTATTTTATTTATTTATTTAAGTATTTATGTATTTAATTATTTCTTTGTTTGTTTGTTTGCTTGTTAATTAATATTTTATAATTTAGATTTATTTTATTGCAAATGGTTTCTTCCAAAAGATAATTCGACAATGTATAAGAGATAGCACTTATTCATTGTCCTGCAGTGTTTACCTCCAATTTCCCTTAACACATTTGCCTGAATGCTTCTAGTACACCTAGAAAAATCTTGATTAGCTGGTCCAGGTGTGTTTAATTGGAGTTGGAACTACAATATGCAGGACACTGGCCCTCCAGGACTGAGTTTGGCCACCCCTGATCCGGACAATACGTGAATATGTTCGCTGTTTTTGACTGTTTGTCAGCATCTTGTGACAGAATAATATGTAGGTTAGTATATGCTCCATCCAGCTGTTTTCTTTTTGGTCAGCTTAGCCTTTAATTAAAGAATACGGCTCAGGACAATGTTCGGTGGCAAGCAACCATGTAATAAGCAGGATATATATTTTTTTGAAACATTTGTTTTTTCTTAGAATAAAGTACATCAGTCTTACACAATAATGCTCCACTTTGCATCAGACTTCTGTTAAGCCTGTCAGCCTTTATTCTGTGATAACAACAACCTAGGTATACATTATCTCCTACATAACCCCCTGCAGGATTATACAAGACTTCCCAGCTTTGTGTTATTCAGCAATAATCATGTGGATGTACAGTATTGCTTACTTATTTGGCTTTTTATGTTACTCTGTGTCCCACAGAAAGCTAAACAAACTGTACAGGGAGTGCTTAGGAAACCTGTTTGAAAACAGCCATATTTCAGCAGTTTCGTGCATAAGCCAAGGCTGCTGGGAACAATAACGTTGCATTCACAATCATTTCCAAGCATCAGAATAAGAGCAGAACTGCTGAGCAAACATTTCAGCAATGTTTCATTGTGCTGACAGCTTCTGTACAGAAAACAAGCGACGCATCTCACCTCAGCGATAGTGATGCAGTCTTCATAGAGAGTGTGTAAAATATGGTTCGCCAACATCAGGTAGACCAGAGAGTCCTCATCCACCTGCAGGCCAAAGTACTCGTTATAATCCCCAGAAAATCCAGATCCTGTGGAAAGTGAATGTGAAATCAGAATTGCACAAGTTGTAACATTTTAACAATCAGCAATTATGCAAAAACTCATTTTAAAAAGAGCTACGATAAAATCAACTTGCAAAAAAACAAAACACACACAAAGTCTAATGTCATGTTTCATTAAAACAAGAGTCGGATTCAAAGTGATCTTTGAAAACCAACCCAAATTCATTAGCAGCATCAGTGCAACAAAATTAATATGAAAAAAAGCAAAATGGCAGGATAACCTTTTGCTGCACTACTTGTGTAATTAATTTCTTGCTTGAAAGAACTCGTATCACGCGCTTCTTCCGTTAATTTTCTTCATTTATGAGAGTTTACGTAACAGCGGCGCTGTGTATTAAAGCTGCCCTTGGAACGGCTCCTCTTCCAGGAAAACACTTTTTTTCTACCTGCTCTACAATAAGCGCCTGTGACATTTACAGCGGCAGGAGTTGTTAATGCACAGTAATTATTAAGTGCTTAATTTTCTATGGACGTACCGATGCCGTGATGATGGTAGAGCATGGATGTGACTCCGTCGAACCTGAATCCATCAAACTTGTACTCCTCCATCCACCAGCGCAAGTTCGACAGGAGAAAACGCAACACCTCCCAGCTGCGCACACACACACATAAACACAGAACTGTTATGCAGGTCTCACATGAACATGTGTATTTGAGTCTTTGTTCATCCCAAACACTTGAGTTAATGGCATGAATCATCTGCAAATAATGTTTTTGTATGAAATCTTTCATCTTATATTGTTTTGTTGTCGTACTATGCAATTCCAAAACATTTTAATAAATATCTACTTATTTCATTTGATTTAAAATATATATTTCTGTAATCAAAAGCTGGAATTTCAGCCTAATTCAAATTACACACAAACAAACAAGTGAAAAAGTAATTAACTTTGGGTATTATATAGCGTAAGGTGAGGTGAGGTAACAACGTAACGTAGCATATAATGCAACGTAGCCTGTCCACAGTTTAACTCCAACTCTAATCAAACACACCTGCTTATAGATTTCTAGTGATTTTGAAGACACTTATAAGCATGGGCAGGTGTGTTCGAATAGTGTTGCAGCAAAATTCTGCAGGACACCGGCACTCCAGGACTGAGTTGCCCACCCCTGACATAACATAACATAACATAACATAACATAACATAACATAACATAACATAACATAACATAACATAACATAACATAACATAACATAACATAACATCATAACGTAACGTAACGTAGCTTAACGTAACGTAATGTAGCGTAACGTAACGTAACGTAACGTAACGTAACATCTAACGTATCATATAGCATAGCATATCATAGCATCACATTCAACATAACATATAGCATAACATAACGAAACATAGCATATAACATAACATATAACATACAACATAACATATAGCATGACATAACATGTAACATATAGCATACAGCAAATAACATTATAGCATAACATAACATAGTATAAAATACAGCATATAACATAGCATGTAACATAGCATAGTATTGCATAGCACAACATAACAGCATGACATATAACATACAGCAAAACACAGCATATCATATAGGCTGTTTCTCAATATGCGTTCTTCAGCGGTCTTGCGTCCTCGTGTTTTCGTGCAACGTCATCATCAGCTGCCCAAGTTCAGTTCCAATACTCAAGACCGCAAGTACGGAAGACGCGTGAAACTTCCCGAATGTGATCTTGATATCGAGGACGCACTGATGCAGACTTGAGCACCAAACTCGCTCTGGAAGTCCCAGAAGTTATTGCGACTGGAGGTGGGAAGCGCAGCATTTAATTTAGATTTATTATTGAAGTTCGGAGATATCATTTATTTACCTCAGGAGCTTCCCTAAATGAAAAGGTGAAAGTAAATGAAACCATGAACATCTTTATAAAGGAATAAACACATTAAAGCCTGGTTTATACTTCTGCGTCAAGTGACCAGCGTAACCCACGGCGCATGCAACGCGTGTAGCTGTGCATTTATACTTCTGTGCGCTGTCTCTGTTGGTCTGCACTGACACTTCCGAAATGCTAGTTGGCAGTGAGGTGTTAATGTTCCTCTGTGTCGAGTTTCTTCGCTGCTATTTTGCTTTTCCTGAACACTTCCGGGATGTACAAGTGACTCAAACTCGCTCATTTTGAGGCAGGAACCGGCGGATGTGCAACAACTTTAACTATGAGGTAAACACAAAACAAAACTTTCCATCCGGAGCTCCTTCATGGGACTCCACACAACAATCGCTCCATCAGGCTTGCACCCTTCACATGGGTCTCGATCCCGCCCAGACCCGCTAGAGCCGACCAATCACAGAGCTTGCGCTACACGTCGTTGCGACGTGTAGTTACATTTTTTGAGAGGTGCTCGTCAGCGACCCCGACGGCCACGTGAAGGGCTATGCGACAGCGCCGTAGCATACGCCGGCATTTGACGCAGAAGTATAAATCAGCCTTTGGGGTGTTTGTTTGCTGAAATTTGTATTAAAATCTGTTTTATTTATATTGTGCAGAGTATATTTCTAACATTTTTATGCATAGTATATATTTTGATAAGGGGAAAAACTAAAGTTTTAATCTATTTTACCTGCTTTTATCATCTTTGACCTAATACTGTTGTCGATCAGCACCACCTTCTGGACTGATTATTTAAAAAATGTGATCTATTAGGATGGAAAACAACAGCTGTGAAGGATTTCCCTTCGTTGTCAGACAGCATCTTCTAATGTTTAATTGAAGCCTCGTCATCGCTAAAGTCAACCGTTTCTCTTTCTTTCAAACATATAACCAGATTAAACAAGTGTAATTCACCAAAATGTTTGACACACACACGTAGCCTAATGTACTGTCCCACTGTTCATTCATTTACTGTGACAAAGTGAAAATAAAGTTTTGAAATGTTTTTAATGTGTTTAAAATTTTTAAACACTTTAATAGTATTGTATATCATTAATATAATAATACAGTTGATTAGCTAATTAGTTGATAAATTCATTGAGTAACATGATAAATTACAAGTGCAAACATCTGAATGGTGTTTAAAAAACACTAATGCAAACAATGATAAGAATGATGAATGAAGGAATGAATGAGCAGTGGTTTACATAGTAAAATAGCATTCATTTTCCTTTAACCTAGACCTTTATATATAAGAGGTCACCACAGCGAAATGAACCGCCAGCTATTCCAGAATATATTTTACACAGCAGATGCCCTGCCAGCCGCAACTCAATCTGAGAAACACTCATACACCCTCTCAATCACACACTCATTCCCAACAATAATTTCGTTTTCCCATTCACCTCTAGCGCATGTCTTTGGACTGTAGGGGAAAGTGGAGCACCCAATAACCCACACGAACATGGGGAGAACATGCAAACTCCACACAAAAATGCCAACTAGCCCAGTCAGGACTCAAACCAGTGACCCTCTTATTGTGTGGCGACAGTGCAAACTACTGAGCCACCCACAGCAAAATACACAACTGTATTTTTTTCAGATTCTACAAAATATGGCAAATCTGCTAACAGTAGATAATTCTAAAGCAGATCATTAACATGAAGGATATTTGCTCATGACTTTTAGAATGAGCATAAACATTATTTTAAACCAAGAATCTTCAACAGGGGGTCCGCAGCAGTCCTGCAGGTGGTCCACTAATTATGGCTTACAGTGTTGTAAATTTGCAACAAACCCGAGTACATTATTGAATTAACCTTAGCAAAAGCTTCAGTTCAGCTAAACGTTTCCCTGTTTGACTAAATTTGCTAAAAGTCAAATATTAATGTAGTTTATGACAAAATTAAACATTATTTGAATGACTCTGCAATTCTGTGTGTAAAAACATTAATATGGTAATAAATGCATGGTATTCTAAGCCAGGATTAAAATGCAACACTAGGATTTAAGCATTATTTAACATAACTCCCTTGCTTCATTTATTTTTTTTTTTTTTTGTTTCTCCAGTAGTTTTAAAATTGTCTTTATATTGTTTTGGAGGTCCTAATATTAGTTTACATCCATTAAGGCCAGAAAACACTTTCATTTTCTCATAATATACAAATCACAGCATCAGCTCTTTTCTCTCAGTGCCTGAAGATTGTGTTCAAGAATCTTGTAAATAGTTTTGCGATGTATTCATATCCTGTGTCATTTCTATATTAAACAAAAACTGAAATAATAAAAACAATTGTTTACAAAAAAATTAACAAAATAGTGTGAATAAAATAGAACAATAAATAAATAAATAAACGAATAAATAAATAAATAAATAAATAAACAAACACAAAGTATACAAATTATAAAAAATAAAAACAAAAAGCATAAAAAATAAATAAACATTAAGTAAATAGTTAAATAAATGAATAGATAAAACAAAATAAAGTAAAATAAATGAAAATGAAATAAAAACTTTCACCCCTCTGTTTCTCAGTGTAGTATGACCTGAAAACATTGGATAATTCGGTGAAATGTATAAAAATCTTTCCAAAAACCTGCTCAGAATTGATCAGACAGGTGGTAGATGTAAAAATGCCTAAACCCTCAAAAAAATGATATTTCCTGTGGCTTCCAGAATGCTTAAAAATAATATGAAAATGTAACAATGGTGTCAGTTTCACTGCATCAGTATGAGTTGCCATCCTTTAGAAACATTTCAATGAAGTAAGAAATTGCACTTAATGTTCTCGGATGAATGTTTTGCTAATCACATTATATTAAATCCATTAATGAGAGTAATTAAGATATGATAATCAGTCAGCAAAACAAAAGCATTATACCTTGTTTTTTGCACGTAACTTTTTCTGCATTTTTTTACTGTTAACTAAATAAAAAATAAATATGTATGGAAGTATATGCTCATTTATTTCTATATTTTTAATTCAGTATTACAGTAATTTCAGTAATGCAATTCTGCACAATATTATATATAATAAAGAAAAGTTTAGTTTAGTGGATGTAAAAACACAAAAAATGGTTATTTCAGTAAGGCAGTTTTTAGGTTGAAAAACTAACCCTAACCCTAACCATGAAGGAAGATTGTGTATATGTTTATGTTTAAACTTTTTATTTGAGGTTGGAAGTGGACCTGGACTCTTGAAGTATTGGAAATAACTGTTTTCTTAGTTATTTGCCATTTTATGTGTTAAATATTTAAAAGTTAATTCATTTGTATTTAGCTGCCAGTTTGGATGTAGTTTATACCAGTTTTTCACCAGTTTTGATAACACCTATCAAAACTATGACACATTTAATGACGTTATGTAAGAGTATAACTGTTGATGTTTTGAGATTGTAAGCAGATCGGACTATGAACTATTTGTGAGTGTTAAAGCTAGCTTCTGCTGATGAAACTGCAAACTACAGTGCATCCGGAAAGTATTCATAGCACTTCACTTTTTCCACATTTTTTTTTTTTTGTTACAGCCTTATTGCAAAACGAATTAAATTAATTTATTTCCCCAACATTCTACATACAATACCACATAATGACAATGTGAAACTGAAAAAGACTTAAAAAAAAAAAAAAAAAAAAAAAAAAAAAAAATCACATGTCCATAAGTATTCAGAGCCTTTGCTGTTAAAGCTCTAAATTGGGT